CAGGAATTTGGGGCACTGATGGCTTCACTGTGTGGCTGTCCTGCTTGCTCACTGTCCCCTGCCCAGATGTGCCCCTGTCCTGCTTGCTCACTGTCCCCTCCCCAGATGTGCCCCTGTCCTGCTTGCTCACTGTCCCCTGCCCAGATGTGCCCCTGTCCTGCTTGCTCACTGTCCCCTGCCCAGATGTGCCCCTGTCCTGCTTGCTCACTGTCCCCTCCCCAGATGTGCCACGAGAGTGTTTGGCATGTGCTGCTAAACTTCATCCTGAAGCTGTGCATCATGTCCTGCAGTCCTGGGGAGAAAGGATCTTCCCAGGCACTTGCTTTCAAATATTAAAGACATTTTTTAATGCTGCTTCTTCTTCTTATTTTTCCCTTCCTTCTTTTTCCTTTTTTCCTTTCCATTCCTTCTATGAACCTAAACAAACTGGAGTGGGGATGCTGGCAGAGGAAAGCAAATGGGGACTAAATAAACTCTCTTCCAGCCAAACACTTGAAGAGTGAACGTGCCACATTGCACAAACCCACAACATGATCCCAGAGCCAAAGATAAATAGTGTCCCTGCAGCAGAAGGCCCAGGCGGGGAGGTGGCTGTGGTGGGAGAGAAGGATCCAGCTGGAGACAAAGCCAGGAAGTCCATATTTAAGTATTCAGACAAGGAACAAATGACTTAATTAAATCAATTACAGAGGGAGAAATGGAGCCACTTAGAAAGCGTGTGTAAAGAGAAGGCAAGGCTGCAACTATCTCATAAAAGAGGAGGAGGGAGAGTTAGCAGGGAAGATAAAGGGGCTGGTTTCATCCCTGCTGTTAATTAAGAGCTGAACGTTTGCTCTGCGCTGAGCCCGGGTCACACCAGCACTTCCACTACATAAACCACACTCAGAGCTCTCAGTGCTTGAGCTACAGAGAGATTTGTAACCAGATGGAGTATGGGAGAGGCAGATCGAGATGTTGGGAGGGAGGAAAGCAGGAGAAAGAGGTGATATAAAAGCTTTTCCACTCTCCTGAACCTCCCACACCTTGCACCGATGGCCCAAACCCTGACCTGCAGCTTCCCTGGCAGCAGGGCTGGGCTCAGCCTCCTGCAGAGGGGGAGATCTTCATCCCTTCACTCAGCAGGAGAAATTCCTGCATGATCCCCCAGCCATCCATCCAAAGAGGAGAAAGGAAGGATCATGGAAATATCAAAGCAACACTTTGCACAGTGTGGAGACTCCAGATGAATCAGCAAAAGGGCTTTCGTCTCAGAAGGTGCTTTGCTCTTATGCCCAGCTTGGCATGGGTTGGAAAACAGGGCTATTTCCTAGCTTGACTTCCATTTAAATGACTTTTTTTCCCTCCCTGCTGCTCCCTTCCCAAATGTAGCTGCTGCAATGGGTGCCATGGACACCCAAGGGGAGTAGGAGCCAGCCCAAGGCTGGCAGCCAGGCTCGTGGAGAAAGACTATCAGGCTGAGCATGTTAGGGTCCAGAGACACATCACACACTCTCAGATCTCCCTCTGACTGATAAAGAGATGTACTTGCTCCAGGAGCTGTTCCTGGGGTTGTCTCCATAGGCCACAAGCAGTTACAGGCATTTGTAACTGACTCAGCATCAAGAGAACAGTTCCAGCAGGACCCAGAAGCCTCTGCTTGAAGCAGCCTGAAAGTGGTTGACAGGTTTGGGGCAGGAAGGTTTCCTCTGTGAGGTGACTCCAGACATCTCCTTCCTAAGCTTTTAAAGCCTTAACATTCCCTTTGAGGCCAGTGATGCAGTGAGTTAATAGTTTTTAGCCCGTTTGTTGTCACTCCTTGTAAGTGAACAAGCAAATGCAAACCCATCTCCCATGGAAGGCTGTAAAAAACCCCACCCCATGTCAGGGAAAGGCCACTGAAGTTTTTTGCAAAGAGCTTATCAAGAATAATGAGTTGCCATTAAAAAAAATTGCTCTTCCCCAAGCAACAACAGAGAGTTATTCTAAGAAAGAAAAGAGGTAGAAGCACATCCTCCCTCAGCCCCAGCTCCCTCCTTGGGGGGCAAAGGTCTGGGGGAGGGCACCCCAGGGAGGTGTCCAAGGGCCAGGTGACATCACCATCCCCCTGGTTTGGGGCTGGGAGAGGGGCACACATCCTGTTCAAGCCCCTGGCCACTCTCCCAGGGTGCCTGGGGAGGTGTGGACCCTCCCTGTGGTGGGAAACCACATTTCGGCAGCTGAAAGCAAATGGGAAAAAAAAACATAAGTTAAAAAAGATCAGCAACTCACTTGCTTTTGTTCTTCTCCCAAACTGTCCCACATTGATGCAACTATTTTTGATACATCCCCAAAGGTGGCATTGGGGTTTTGCCCTTTGATGGCTGCTTGTGTGTCCCTGAAGAACAGGGCATAGGCTGACACGGGCTTCTGGGGCTCGTTGGGGTCCTTCTTTTTCTTCTTCTTTTGGCTTTTGGGCTTTTTGCCCAGGTCTGTTGATGGCCTTTTCTCTCCAGTAACCTGCAAAACCAAGAGGTGAAGCTTAGCAGTCAGCTGGGAGTAGCTGGATACGAGTCCCTGCTTCAGCTTGTTAGCAAAGGGGTCAGGAGAGGACAGGCAGGGGAAGGCAGCAGCCCTGGAGGATGTAGAGGATCATTTCACAAACTGCTGGTGGGTGCCTGAGCCCACCCCAGGTGTCTCCTCCTAGCTCAGTTTGTAGCTTGGGTTCACCCCTTGCTGCTCCAGTGGTCCCTGCTCCAAAGCTGGGGCCTTCCAGACACTCATCCTCTATCACCCCCTTGCCCCCTCCTCCTCCACAGCATCACAAACTCACTCCCACCTTCTGGGACCACTCCCAGCATCTTGCTCCCCAGCCAGATCCCTTTAGCAGTCCATGAATTTTGCCAAACTCAGCTTCCACATGTTGCAGATTTCCAGCCCAATAACCCCAGTTTGGAAGCTGCTTCTCAGCCTCCCCCCTACCCAGGCAGGAGGGTTCTGAGCACTGACCTGGCAGCACCAGCATCACATCAGCCATCACACTGGGGCCACCCCAAATTGGTTCCACCCTGCTAACAGGTATGTACCCTTATCCAGGAAAAAAATACCCAGGAATGTAACCATTTTCATCTTCTGTAGTAAAGGTTTTGTGTGCTCTGCCCACTTGTAACAACGGGTCTGACCAGCTCTGGCTGTTCCCACACTCGTGGGAGGTTGAAGCAAGGGAGCAGGACACAGGCAAGAGGAGCTGGTCCCTGTGGCTGCCCAGCACGAGCTGTTGCCACCAGGCTCGGGGGTAAAGCAGCAAGGCTGGGAACAGGGATGTTTGCAGTGAGGGTAGAGCAGAAAGATCCCCTGGTTGAGCCTCTCTTGGGATGCCCGGGGCAGCGTGTTGAACACGTGGGACTGCAGAGAGCTCTGTGTGATGGGGAGCAAAGAAAAAGTCCCCAGGGAAGAACTTGGGCATAGATCAAAGCTCTCCAGGCATTAACTGTGCTCAGTGAAAGCTCACACTGCAGGGAAGCACCAACAGCCTTCTTTTTTTCATGCAGGAAACCCTGAATAGACCAGAGGTTAAACACGGCAGAGAATAAAACTGTTTGCTGCCAGTTCTCTGCATCCTGGAGGGCAACCAGGGTGTCAGCACCTCTGCCTGCTCCATCACCCAGTGCTCAGCCTCTGCTTGACTCCAGCAGCCCCTGCTCTGCCAGGGCCACCAGCTAATTATATTCCCTAGAAAGTTGCCCAGTCTGTCACTTTGAGATCTGATAAATAAGAAAGAAAGAAAATCAATTGACAGAGATCTAAACCACCAAATCATTGTGAAAAATGATGCTGGAGCAAAGACCTCTTCTCCTGATGGATTTGATGGTCTGCCTGGAAATGCTGAGATTTAGGAGGCTTCACTTGAGCTGGCACAGGGAGGAGAGGGCAGTGATTCTCCTGTTCTCTGCTCAGCAGCTCTTGACTGGCCATTAAGTTCAGTATCAGAGCAGTGACATTTGTCAAACAGACCATTAGTGAATGAGCAGAGAGAAACACACACCCCACCCCGTCCCTCCCCCCCCAAAAAAGGCATTTAATTTAAAATTGCTCAATTGGGCTTGAATGGGAGGCCTGGAGGTGAAAGGGCAGCTAATTAGGAGGGAAAAAAATGCATGACAGGGCTTCAGCCCATTAGCAAGTGAGATGGGATTTTAACTAACTGTAACCCTGCTGGGCTCAGTGCTGTGGGGAGACCTGCTCTCCTCGTGGGCACTGACCAAGAGAAGCACCACGAGCAGGCACAGCCCCAGCTGGGACAGTGGGTTTAACTGGGACAGTGGGGCTTGGGCAGCACCAAGGGGATTGCTGGAAAACAGAGGATGCCTGGAAGGCTGTCCAGAGCTGTCAGCTCCCAGGAAGGAGCAGAGAAGATCTTGCCTGGCCTTCCTTCCTTTTGTGGAGACTTTCAAGACCCATCTGGATGGGTTTCTGTGTGACCTGGCCTAGATTCTGTGCTGGTCCTGCTCTGTCAGGGGGTTGTACTTGACGATCTCCAGAGGTCCCTTCCAATCCTTACCATTCTGTGGTTCCTGGGATTTACCAGGCAGGACACAACATGGTGTGGGACAACAGCCCAGCCCTGAACTGCAGAAGTTGCTTTAGCAACCTAAGCCATGTTCATGGCTAAAGGCAAGACCTGGAGATCCAGCTCCTTGCTGTCCCAGGGCAACTGCATTTTTTCCTTTGGTAAGCCACGTCAGGTGAGCTCATTCACATCCTACCCTGCATGACTTTCCTTCCCTGTTTTAGTTTCCTCCACCTGCCATGAGAAATCTCATTTTGCACCCAAGCATTTGCAAAACCTTAGCCCTGAACCTGCTTCCCTCCCCAAAACCCCCATCAGAGGAAACTCTGCAGCTTGATGGACCAGACCTGGTAAACCCTGGAGAGAAAAGCCCAACTGTCCTTGCCAGACTTGGGTGTTGGCCTGCTGGACTGCACCTCACTCTGCATTGGAAACAATCTCTCCATCCTACACGGGTCAACCAAAAGTCTGTGCTCTAATTTAGTACAACTCAGCCCTCACTGACAAACACCACCTGCCCTTCTCTGTTTACACGGGAGTGACCGCGCACGCACCTTATAGTGTGACTCTGTCTCCTCTTCCTGAGTGGAGCTGGAGGGAGATGGTGTAGCTGACTTGCTTCCCGGGGGTGATGGGGATCCGTGGGTAACTCCACTCCTCATTCCCATCTGAGAGATCAGCTGTGACTGGCTGAGAGCACTCATGGGGCCGGCCAGCATCCCGGGGCGGCCGAGCAGGGGCACTTGGCGGTTGGACTCGTAGGACGTGGCATCTGAGTGGACCATCTCCTGGATCTGAGTTAGGTCATTTGTAAAAAACAGACAAACAGACAACAGTCGTTTATTTATCTATTGATCAAACCACTTGATGATGAGCTCTTAAAGTTGAACTGGTTGAAATTTATCCAACGCATCCAGTCGAGTCTTCCTCATGTCCCCTTCCAAGCAAGCGAAGAACGAGAGCACAGAGCTGTGCACCCAGGGCTCTGCTCCTGCCACCCCCCTGCCCACCGATGCCAGGCTGGGTTTGTGCACTGGTCTGTGTGCCCAGGAGGTGCCCCCTGCCTGCTTCAGGGACCAGTGGTGGCTGGTAGTTACCAGGGGGCTGAAAGAAAAGTTGAGAAATGAGTCATTTATGGCCAAGTGATGGCAAGAAGGGAGGATGTTGCAACGTTTCTGGGGCCAAGCCTTGCTGAGGCAGATGTGAGGCCACTGCTGAGCACTTGACATGGGTTGTGCCAGGGTTTCTGGGGACATCCAGCCCTGGTACATCAGCGATGCAGCCATAGATTCCAAACATGCTTCTGAGCAGTGCTGGCTAACTGCACAGAGTGAAAAATACCTGCGTGTCTGAGTCCATGAAGGTACCACAACCAACTCTCCTGCATCATCCGTACAGATGTCAGGTGGCTCTTGCCAATCAGCACAAAAGCAGCCAGTGGAAGACCCAGGTCCCCAATCCCATCACCCAGAGCTGTGGCACTACCACCAAGCCAGAGCTCCTCAAGCCCCAGGGGAAGCCAGCACTCCAGTGTGCCCCAAGATGGACCCAACGCTTGGGGACAAGCTCTGCTGGTGGCCACCACCTCATTCCAACTCCTCCCCAGGAGATGACTCTTCTGATTTCAAATTTTGTAATCCCTTCTGATCCCACTTGAAATGGATGTAGCAGAATGTCCAGACAAGGGCACAGAAAATGCTGGGCTGCCTGCTCAGGTTTCCCAGGGAGGGAAGGGACCAGAAGCAACACGTGTGTGAGTGCAGGAGAGATGGGAGAGGTGGCTGCATGATGGAGTTATCCCCAGAAATGCAGAGCTTCCTAATGGCTATTTATCTCATAACATGAGAGTGAAGGGACATCTGATGGGCCTCAAAGGTGACTAATCACCCATGGCTGCAGGGACACAAGGACATGGCCCAGGCCACAAGCCCAGGTGTTGCCTCCTGAGACTGCTGAGCCCAACAGCCTTGAAAGATTTGGAAGGAAAATGAAGCACATTCAATATTGCCAGTAAGAAATGTTGGATGCTGCATTAGACAAAGACAAATTATCTTGTGCAGTGCAGACCCCCCTGTGTCATGGCATAAACCAAGGTTCACGTGGTTGGGTCCAGCAGGAGCAGAAACAACCCCTTGCCTTGGCCAAGGTGGGAAGATGAGATGGACACAAACCTGGACATGCTGTAGGTGCACTGAGGGTTTTGGGGCTGCCCTGCAGCTTGCTGAGCCAAGAACCCAGTTCCAGTTTACACCATTTTCCCTGAAAACCCCATTTTCACCTCAGGGTCCATCCCTGCCACCTCCTGGCAGCCCCAGGAGCAGAGCAGAGCCACAGAGGAAGCCAGCAAGAGAGAGAGCAAACCCTGCCTGAAACATTTCCCAGAGTGTTTTTTTTTCCCTTTACATTCATCTGATTAATGTTACCAGGAGTTTAAAGACCCAGACTTTATTTATTAACAATCTACATTTCTGATAAGCCCACCGAGGTGTGATCACTCATTACCCAGGAAAATCTGCCAACTCCATTAGCAGCACAGACAGAAAGAAACCCAGGGAAGACCTGAAAGGGCTTGGGAGGCTTCAGAGGAAATAAATCCAAACTCAAAACCAGATTTACTCGTGCAGGTCAGGAATCAAGAGCTTGACACAACACCTGACAGCAGCTTCTGCTATCCTTGGGAGCAACCATCAGTCAAGGAGGGGGACAGATTTTCCTAGATCTGCCCTTTTTCTGCATCAAAGTGCAAAGATTTAACCCACAGGAAGAAAAGAATTCGCATTTCAACTGCATGAGGAGCCTGATCGACTTAGGGACCAAGCTGAATTGCTGTCCTCTGTGTCTAGTGGCAAGGAAACACCAGCACCCAGGGACAGCAGGGGCAGCTTTGCTCCCTCTGGAGCTGAAAAAAACCTCACTGCTGCTTGAATGTGCCAAGTTTTCTGTGTCCTTCAAACCTCCCTTAAAAGCTATTGCAGGGGTCTGGCCTCTCTTTGCCATGCCAGGAAATCCTGGCCAAAAAAGACACTGGGGATGTGCACGTTGCATCCAAGCAAACTGGGGCTGGACTGTGGGCTTGGGCAGCACAGGAAGAATCACAGAGCCAATTGTTGGCATTTTTCAATCAAATTTGCACATGTTTTGGGAATGGCCAAGGGTGAGAGAGGCAAAAAATGGGAGCCTGCAAGATGGAAAGACAGAGCAGCTCCCATCTGCTGGGGGATCAGCAAGCTCCTTCCCAAAATCCCAGTGATAAAAGTACATTTGTCTTGGATTTAGGCAGTTTAATCCAGACCTTTCATGAGGATCTGCTAAGGAAAGGAGTCATTTCTTGCCCTTATTTGAAATGGAAATAAAGAAGTTCAGAAGATGGGTGCTTCAGAAATGGGGAAAGCCATGAAACGTGGCTCAAAAAAGGAGGTTAAGATTTCCAAGAGCTGGTTCCCACTTGCAGCCATGACAGTCTCTTGGGGAAATACTGGATGAAGATAATTTATTTTTTGGTTGAAACTTTGATGACGTGGCCAACAGGGCACAACGGCTCCATTTAAGCCATTAAATGTGTAATCATCCACTTTTTCTTTCCAGTGCATGTTATTTATGCACCAGAGCAGAACACGTCCAGGAGTGCAATTATGGATATTGGACACGTGCTGCAAATGCTTATGAAAATGGGTAGGAAAAAAAACTAACCCTGAAACCTGAGCCCCAGCTCACAGAATCCATGCAGAAACCTCCTGCTGACAGCAACCCAACCACAGTCCTCTCCCCAAGTGGAGACACTGGAATTTTTCCTGGGATATCCCCCTCCCCAAGGATATCTCAGCCCAGAGGCCTCGTCCCAAGCATCATTAAAACCCAGTGTTTTGGCTTGAAAGCTTTGCTGATTATTGCTGGTTCTGGCCCCTTCCCTCCTTCTCCCAGGTCTCCATCTCCTCCTACCCTGGCCAGGAGGTTTTGCAGGAGGACATGTGTGACCATGCTGCCCATGTGGAACCCTGCAGATCACTGCTTGGAGGGGCAGGATCTGACCCCACCATTTGCCACTCACTAGGATTTCTCTCAACTTCCTATTTTTTTTTTTTAAATAATAATGAAATATGGGAACAAGACACCAGGCTGTCACCTCCCCTGGCTCCCAATCCCCTCCAAACTGGAGTGGGTGAGTGGTGGAAAAGCCATTTTCCACCAGCTCGTTCAGGGGCCTTAGTGGTGCACCCAAAGTAGGTTATATCCCCCTCCAAGGAAGACCCAAGGAAAAAGAAACCCAGGAGCAGGATTCAAAGATGCTCCCCTGCAGCAAACAGCCTAATTAGGGAAGTAAATAATGAATGAAACTGAGATGAGGCAAAGCAAAGGTGCAAGGGTCTTGTAGGACTTAACCCTTGTGGGATGTAACCCTGTGGGAATGGAAATCCTGTGGGATGTGACCCCTGGAGGATACAGGCCCTGTGGGATGTAACCCCTGGGAGATGTAACTGCCTCATCTAAGCTGTGTTCCTAACTAGAGAGGCTGGACCAGATGGTCTTGGAGGTCCCTTCAATCTGACTCAAATCAGGACACTGGCACTCTGTGTGGCTCCTGTGGGATGTAACCCCTGTGAGATGTAAATCCTGTGGGATGTAGCTCCTAAAGAAAGTGACCCCTGTGAGATGTAACCCCTGTGAGATGCAACCCCTGCTGCAGAGCATCCAGCATCCACACCAAGCCTGTTGGAAGCCCACGCCTGATTCAATAACTGCCTTGCCAACATAATTAGCTCCACCAGAAGGAGAAGCCACTCCAAGAGCCAGATCAGGTCCCATCTCCATCCCAGGCACCCAGAGCTTGCTGCAAGGTGTTGCAAAAGGCTCAGGACGTGTTTGCAGCCTCCACTGAAAAGATGTTTTGCATCTCAGAGGAGCCATGAGTGAGATGTGATGTAGTCACAGCTAAAGTAATTAAGTTCATCTTACTTAGCAGATTCCCAAAGGCTGTGATAACTCAAAGACAGCTTCTTTTCTCCCACAGTATTTCAATTTTTTAAATGAATATGCAGATCAGGCCTATAAACGCTCCAGCTGATCCTAAGAAGGGGAGAAAAACTGGCTGACAAACAGCACATGCTCCTTGTTGCTGGGGAGAAGGGTAACCCAGCATGAGTGACAAACACCACAAAAACAGCTTGACTGGGAACTCGGGTGCTCTGCAAGCAAAGAGAACATTTGGAAACATGTCAGGTGGAGCCTCAAGTTCACTGTCCCAACAAATTCATATGGAAAAGGCAGCTCTTCCCAGCAGTCCAGGCTATGGCACTGGCAGCAGAGCTGGGGCTGGTCCCAGCTCTGGCAGGGTGGTTGCTGCTATTGAATGTCCTCTCCTGCAAAATCCTAATTCCCAGCTGAAGCCTCAAGGCAGGTCCCACCCCTGTAACCACCTTCTGCCTTCACTTTGCGTGGGGTTTTTCTCCTCCTCCTCATGTAGTGACAGGACAAGGGGTGATGGCTTTAAACTGAAAGAGGGGAGATTTAGAGCAGATATTAGGAAGGTATTTTTTATCCTGAGGGTGGTGAGACACTGCCCCAGGTTGTCCAGAAGCTCCATCCCTAGAAACATCCCAGGTCAGGTTGGGTGAGGCTGTGAGCAACATGGTCTAGTTGATGTCTCTGCTCATTGCAGGAGGGTTGGACTGGGTGACCATTAAAGGTCTCTTCCCACCCAAACTAGTCCATAATCCTATGACTGCCACCTTTCCTGGGACTATTTCATGGGGGTGGGCTGAGCAGAGATGCCAGAGCCTTCCCTGCCTGGGGTCTT